TTAATTCTAGGCAAGGAGAAAATAGCAAAAACTTGGTTACAATTTCTGTTAGAATTTCATCGAGCAAATATATACTTATTGCTACGTTAAAAACGAATAGTAGAAAATCGATCGATACGAATGCTGGCAGAAAAAGCTTCAACACCCATACCTTCTTAGTATGTAATTTTGTTAGTTTAAAATTACGATATACTTAATTGCTTTTTAATGACCGTTTTTAAAAGACATCGCAGTGAATTTTTTTTGATAGCAACATTATTCTATGATACCGCTAATGATCTAAAAGACTGGCCAAATAACGTTAAGAGAGGCATATCAGTTTAAAGTTATCTTTTACATTCGGATACGTTCGTCGTTTGTAACGAACTTGATTTCGTTCATGTAATTTCAACGTAACAGGCTTCTGGGTGAGTGACTTCAGCTACTTTCGAAATATGTATGCTTCTTTGATGTTTGACTATTTTCTTACTCGATCGAAGCTCACCATTGTGCCACAGAGTCAAAACACTTACTTAATTAAGATAATATATTATAATACATGCTAAATGCTATTTTGAGTCTTAAGGCCAATGCTTCGACTTCGGCGTCGCCGCTTTCGGACAGTTAGCGTCTACGTTAGCTTTCAAATCTAGACCCGCTTCACAATTGCCTAAGTTTCATAGGCGCGTTACTGCTGCATTATTATGGAGACGCGATAACGCCAAAAAACTTACTACTTCTCCATGCACAAAATTATAGACACACAGTTCATCTTTGGAACCGTTACTTCTTCTAGGCGATCAGGATGAGTCGACGTGCTTACTTAGCAAGACTGGCCGACAACTTAACGTCAGTATCCAACCAAACTTCTTTGATCGAAAACAACAACTTAAAGCTTAAGTTTTTGCTTTCGATGATACGACACGACACGACACGGCACGTTTTTTTTTCTTTGTATAAAACCTTGCTGTGGTCGGCCACCCATTACAGAGTAGCGATCGGGGCTGACGAAGGGAGACGAAGGATCGCGCATCTAGGGAAGTCGTGGAAATCTTGCTTTGAACAATTCCTACGAATCCTATAAGACAACTAATAAAGAGCGATTGATCCTAATTATGTGGAAATATGAAAAGCCATTGTAATCGTCCTAATGAAATGAAAATACTGTGAAGTGGGCAAGAGTCCACTGCTGCCGTCTGTTCCAAGCGTTGCTAGGACCGAGGTGATTAACAGCGATGGTAATAAGCCAACTCAGCCAAAACAATTATCTCGCGTACTATGCAATAAACGCGGTCAATCCCAAATGGCAGCCGTAGATCGCAGGGAGTATCGCTAACAGACTGAATTTTGTCAGCCGTTACTCATTATAGTGGTATCGGGTAAAAAGAACCGTGGTCGGATCCACGGGGTAACTGACACTGAGGTTTTTATGGAGAAATCAAATAATAGGGGCTCTTTACATCACCGAATCGACACGTCAGCCAAAAGTAAGACTACATAGACGAGCAGAACAGACATGTTTAATGTAATATAAATATTCAGATAACAAAGACAAACGAAATAATGTTTGGACATCTTGAAATATCAACGTCCGTTTCTGTTCTTCTATACGTTGATTGTTATAGTGGTATAATAGAAGAAAAGGTGAATCTTACAGGGAAGACGGGAGACAGGAGGAGGGGGCAGGACAAAGAGGTAGTCTCTCACCTCTGTCGACTTTGTAAGATGATGTGATAACATAAACATAACGTAAATACGGGAACTTATGTCGGTTTCTGTCAAGGAAACGTATATGCAATGATACAGCCGTCGGCATAATCTCTAGCGGACTCATGGGTCGGGGCATTACGTCTAAAGGCAAACACTACAAAAAATACCTATTTCTCAAACATCGCTACGCTGGCCAGTAGTAGAACAGTATGTTATTACAATATGAACCCTATAAAACCATGGGCAACTTTTCCTCGCTGACCGCCATGCATCGACTATTGAAAAACGAGATTCGTTTTTGAAAAGATATATCGATGCCCTTCGAAGGGACTGTTGAACAAAAGCTAGTCGTCGATGATGCTCTTTGAAAAAAGAGCGCCAGGTCCATCTGTTTTTTTTTCTATATACGAAAATCTCTCACGAATGAATTATAACTCTAGTAACCGTTTGACAAAGTACGGTTCGTATCGGACAAATGTCCTGTCTCCGTAACATATATCTACGTTCGTGTTTGCGACGACGTTCCTTAAATCGCTGACAAGAAAAACAGAGTTGAAATTTGCTCTTGATTTTGCTCTTCATAGGAGAATCATCGTTGTCTTAATCCGAGTTGGTCTCATAATGTTGCCGGCTACAAATTCTGTACTTTTGTTACCTCACTGAGTTTTGTCTGCCCAGCAGAGAAGTTCAATTGAATCTGAAATCATCGAGTGCGAACTGAGGCAAAGCAGTTCCTCGTCGGCGTCAATCTTCCCTGATAAAAAGCAGACCTGAACAAGGTTTTTTGCTGTTTTTTTTTCACTAGCCAGGACAGAAATAAGCAATTGCTAATGATGCCAAGGGTTAATGCAGTTGCGTGCGGGTACCAGTGTGACGATGAGGATTCCACATTTTTTCCTTTTTACTTTTTGCCCTTCCGATCAAAGTGTATCGCTGCGACAGCGTTTTCTGTTTTAACTAGCCATGTTGTCTGGCGTCATATAGCAAAATTTAGGTGCGCGAAGAACTTTACGAAATTCTAGATTCGTAAGAGTGCGTCGATTCAGGCTAACTGATTGTGGCCTCCAGCTGCGGTCATCGATGAAGTATTTTTTCAGTTACAGGCTAGTTGCATCGTCTACTAGAAGTTTTAATGGAACGTTAGTGAGATGGATAACAATGATACATTATCTAGAAATGTTGAAGGAGTCAGCGTTCAAGATTGCTCTATGAATATACTATGGCGCAGAGCCTTCGTTAATTTCGCGCTCTTTCGTTCGGCCAGGAGTAAAATTTGAATGTCTGATATTATATCATATCTATAGTGTGTTCTCAGTGCGTTTACTTTCATCTTAGCTTGTACACGCAGACGCACATATATATATATGTGTTTGTGTGTGCTGTAAAGTAAGTCATGTAACAGTTTGAAAATATTTACTTGGCCTTTTGTGACTATGTGAAGACAGCTGGAAGTACGAATGCTCGATCCCTACAACCATTCTCTTCGTGGGAGAAGAGGTCATGTATCAGATATTACGTGACCATTAAAACATTACGTTGTAAAAGTGTCACGAACGCCAGGAGTCATCGCGGTTTCTGTTTGTTATGAATAGGTTTCACCAGGAAAGAGAATCGAGTAAATCAACAGCGATTGTGGAGTGGCGTTGTAACAACTTACAATGCTGCTCCCGAGATACTGCTGCTGCCGCCGCCGCCGCCGCCGCCGTAGTCTTTTTTCGTCGGGGGACGAACCAAGATGAGTAGAGATTAGGATAGTCCATACACAGCCTCAGAGACAGTTACTTGCAATCCAAGATCTGCTTTGCGTAGTTGCTGAAAGTTCGCGTCGTCTACTAAGCTAAAAGTGAAGGACTGCGCATGTATTGATCTGTGAGTGACCCTTTATGATTGTAGTTAAAACCGAACCCCTAACCGGCGGCCGCGAAGTATCGTGGCCAATTACAAGAACACTTTGTCGTCTTTTTTCCTCCAGAAAAGGCTATATACAAGCAAAAAAAACAGCTGATTTGTATGTCCCAAAAATTGTCGTAGAACCATGAATGGCTACTGCGATAAACCATACGTACTTTAGCAAGATGATGCATCGTCGCATACGAATAACTTAGTGCTGTATTGTGTGATAGCCCATCTGGATACACCATTGGACACGGAGTTGTGGCCGCCTCGCAGGCTAGGGTTGAACCTGTTGAATCACTATCGGACCCATTGTGTGGGGTTAAAATTGGAAAAAAGCCCAGCACAGTGTGAACTTGGTTACTATTACTATTAATTGGACGTTTGAAAATACCTAAGAAATGTTTTAGTACAGATTTAGGTTACGAATGAAAACCATAATCTAACTATATAAACACGTGCACCATAGATACCTCTGTCGGTGTACGTAAAAAGTTCTACCTGAAGCTACGTGAATTTTGTTTCAATTTACACCGGTACGTAACTAAAAGGGAAGAGCTGTAAAATTTGTTTTTAAACTCTTTAAAACTTTTTAAAATCGAAAAGTAGTTCGACATAGACACAAACACTTAAGAAGTCTTACGTACCGGCATAATTCACATCCTTCCCTATGGGCTTTGGCCTGTCGATGAGACCTGAAGTCGCTTCAAGTTATTTCCTGTGAGTGGCTATTCTGGGACACGTCAAGTTATTGGGATATCGCCGTCAACTTTACTGAGTCGTACATGAACAACACAAAATTCAATATAAATGTACGTTTACATATTGTCCAACACGAAATACCCTGCGCTAAAAAATATTGTTCTCAATCGCAGTTCCTCTCCTCGAAAACATCCGTTAATAAATCATACGAGCTGTGTTAAGCATTGAATATTAATAAACGAATGTCCGAGCTGGTACGAGTAACCTGCATAAAAAAGTAATAAATAGAAAAAAAAAACATTGGTTGTTTTTTCGGTGTCCTGCGCCTTCACGGCTATCTTCCAGTTCAGCTACTAATTCAATCTTTAAAGTAAAGCAAAGTGATACCCTGACAGTTGCAGATGTTACAGTTGCAACTAAGTAAAATGCCTGATAAGGCCCCCAAGCTCAAACGAATGAACATATATATACTTCACCTATGCAAGATTTCTAACGATTGATAAATGTCCTTGTAATATATGATATATTTTATTTATTATATTGTTACCATACTGTAGCAACAATCAAGACGGGCGGAAATATAGCAAAGCATAGTATAATAGTAATGCATGCGTGAAATACTGACACTTACTTATTAAAAATTCAAAAAAACAGCTTATGGTTTCACTCAAAAGACTGCTCATAAACGATATAGAAATAGAGGAAATTCAACCAGGTTTTGCAGAAGAAATGAAATTTTTATTAATGTTATCATCACCGTTAGCATTATGTACACGATAGTTATAGACTGGCAGTCCTTACGTTAAGCATGTTTTCTCCGTTTATTTACAAACACCACCCATCAACACAAGGGTACGCAACTCGACTTTGCTCAATTGCTTTGCTGAATAAATACTCGTATCTTGGCCAGGCCGAAAACAGGCTCAAGACTTGGCCGTTGCCGATCTGTAAATCTAGACCTGACAACTTCCAAACTGACCTTTTTGACCTTCTAGTGATTTGGCATAAGGCTTTTCTTGTGGAATAGAAAATTTACGTTTGGTTCAACATTTTGCTTCCCTGTCTTGTCTTACTTTCGGTTTACTCCCTATTACATATTCTTACCTGTATTGCTATTATTTGTTTACCATACGTTTTTTTCTATCAATAACAATTGCTGGTATGTCCCCCCCGTACGGCACGATGGGAAACATTAACTTGTTTAGAATCTAGTAAAATGCGGCTGAGCAAACAAGCGTGTAGAGAAAACCGCTGCTGATCATCGCCTGATTCAGTTAATTTTTTTTTGATATCATGTAGCAGTGCTTTTTATGGCGGAACGTATTATTGTGCTAACGCTGCTCAAAGAAAATGAGGACCGAAAAGCTAAGTGCACGGGTAACAAAGATTTCGGCAAGCTGAAACCGTCAATCATTAATAGAATACAAACCTAAGGAAAGTAGAGTTATCCTTGAGGGGCAGTGCGTCACAATCGATGAGAATGATGACATCATTGTAAGTTATGGGTTCATATTAAAACAAAGTATGTTCTGTTCGATTTCTGGCGGCGAAAAAAACAAGGAATGAAGTTATCGATATAAGAAAGGGAAGGAAAAAAAGTTAAGAGATTCGAACATATTAATGAACCTAACGTTGTCATAAATGTCCGAGGCTTGCATGGCAGGCTGTAACAAATGTAGTAGAAAAAAAAGAACGCATCTTAGCCATTGCGCGTATTCCAAGGATATAATCAACCGTTTATAATTAGCGATTAGCGGGGGTAGAAAGGGGGTCATATCCGATTTTTGTCCACCATAACTAATGCCACTCGTTCATGTTTCTACTACAGAACGTTCGAAGTCTGTTTTTCCTTAAAGCGTTAAGCTTTTTAGCTGGACCCCGTTAACCTTACTCGTAGAACCCTCAAAGCAGGAGTAGCGCAACAAATTTCAGCACATGCGGATCCATAGACAGACACTTTGCCTGTCTGTTGTTGCTACCTATTCAGCATGTCAACGTACTTCTTTATCGCTTCTCTCTGTTTCTATTTCAACCTGAATAAAATCAATTATTTAGAGTTAATTAATCTTATTATTTTAATAAATTAATAATGTCCCTGGCCGTATCCGTAAGCCTGTCCATGTTCGTATCCGTAGGCGGGTGCAGCATAAGCCGCGTAGGCAGGGGCACCATACGAGGCGTGGGCTGCGAGGGGCGCATAAGCGGGGGCAGCGTAGGAAGCAGCGACCTTCACGGGAGCGGCTTGGATCGAACCGGACGGAATTGTCTGCGAACGCATGAGTAACGTAAGCTAGGGCTTAACAATAACAACAACAGCCAAAGAAAAACGTAAAGAGCGTGACTGGCGACAAAATGGGTGTCAAGGCATTAAGTAAAAATGCTGCGGCAAAAAGCTTCGACTTGACAGCAAGCGTAAATCGACGACTGGGATTGAAATGGGCACCATATCTTAGGACGCCTATGGCACTGGTGCTAAATAGGGACTTTCGTCGTTGATAATAACTAGCCTGTTTGTGTAGAGCTTTTCAGCAAGCCATGATGCTGATGTATTTGGGTACGTTAGTTGCTACAAAGCTAGATTTTGACGAACGTTTAAAATGAAGTATGCTTAACAATGTTTGACTGCTTCAAAACCGAGGGGATACCCATCAGCTATTCTGACTGCAAAAGCACCTTGTTTATCAGTCAATTAGTTTTTGCGCAACTGAGAAATAGTAAAAAAAAAAGGCTCATGTCACTGATATTAGCATAAACAAAATTTGATTTAAAGAAGGCTAGCAACGTTCACAATATCAAGCATTTCAGGAAGGTTCGTTTTGTTGGGCTAGCCGTTTCAGTTAAATACAAACCACTCTGCGCATCCAATCACTAATTCTTGCTAAATTATACGAAATCTAATTGCACTCTGAAGTCTCCTTTGGAGGAAATCCCCACCCTGGATCTCTATGGTGCGACGAGATGGGCTCAAGGTGTCAAACTTAGCGAATACTTATTTCTCTGCAGACCATCAGAACACCGAAAGCATCAATCTCAGCAAAGACCAACTTGTAAGTTGCCGAAACATCATAAAAATGCGAGCTATAACAATAGGGACACAGATCAGACGTATCCTTTGTTTCTGTCGTTTAATCAGTGTCGATCCTTTACACTTTCTTATTTTTCTATAAATCCTTGCACATCTTGGACACTATCGTGATGCATCACCAACAAGGTTGTCTGTTGGCCATCCCACCGCTGAAGCTTTGTCACTTCATTGGCGTATCTGGCCAAGATCAGCTCAGTGCGTGGGGCCGAACTAACTGTGGTGGCTATGCCTTACCGCTCTTTGTTATCTCGGAACGCACCATGTCATTCTGTGGATCTATTTACGTGTTGTGAATGTACTAGCCACCATTGTGTAGGCAGGTTCTCTGTGTGGTATGTCACAATCTGCGCGAACAAGTAACATCGCCTTATGAAGCTGCAGGTCACCGAGCGAATAAAGAATATCAATGAATAGATATGTATGTAAGGTAGTCAAGTATTTCCTACCACACCTCACTGCCTGGTGTTACCCGTTGCACTATATACTCATTTAAGCCGGCCATATCTGTGTGTGTGTTGGCGTTTTTATGCTGTTTAAATGAGACCGGAGTGATAGGGCATGCTGAGAATACACAGACAGAATAATGAACTAATCGTGTCAAACAAGCGAGTCATGCTGCGGACGAGCGGCTGTTCTTCCCTGTCATCACTCTGACGCCATTCACGTTTGAGCGTCGCATATGAAACAGACAGAACAACGTTAGTAAAGGATGAATTATTAGGGGTGTACAATCCTATTCAATAGGATTCCACTCGAGGTTGAATCAACTAAAGAAAAAAAAAAAACTAAATGATTACAGAGAAACCCACGAGAAACCAAAAGCGGATGATGAAAAGGTAAGCAACGACGACACCTGAAAATCTCTACAACTGCAAAAGAGAAACAGCGTAAGATGGGTGGGTGTCGGACAGCACCGTGGTAAACTATAATGGAAAGCAGCAAAACATAATCCATAAATATTCGTTAACAACAAGGTCTATAAAAAGGTTATACAGTTAAGGTTGTTCTTGACTCGCTGTTAAGAGAACACACAAATTTAGTTAATAGATGATCGGATCTATGTGTGTCTGTGTGAGCATGTCCTGTTGTCAGTACGTACTAGAGGATAACGCAAAGCTTATTGAAAAAACATGTCCTTTATGTCGTTTTACCACTGTGGTTGTCGATATCCATTCGGTTTTACTACTTAGATTACTCTTTTCGTCTTGTCGTTAGGCCAGTTATAGGCTTCGGATCGTTCAATCCATGTGAAGGTTAATCCTGTGCGTTAATAACTCGTCATCGGTGATCTTCCTTATCTGATGCTTTTTCAATAGTTCAGTTCTTAGTAAAACGTAGAAGCTATCTTAAAAAAAGAAAGAAAGAATTATACAACACATAAAGGCTCAGGCCACGATAAAGACGAGCGGACCTTTTATGCCGCCGTTGATGTCCAATGGTCCTATTTATCTATAGCGTTACGACTCGTTGAAGTGCCATTCGAATATTTTCCTTTGTCTAACTGGTCATCTTATTGTAGCGGTATGACAAAAGGTGAACTTTTCTTTTGTAATCATAAAATTACGTCATCCCCGAGCCGCATCAGAAAGTAGCTCATGACGATGTTTCAATGTAGGCAAAGTTTCCTACAGGCTTAACTACGTGACCTAATGTGGCTGATTAAGGCACGGCGCTGTTGATATTTGCAAAATATATGACTTAACCAATCAACCAGCTTCGGCTATGACGCTTCAAATACTACTATATTCGTTCGCAGTATTTGTCGCGACCCTTTCTCCAACTCGGTGATGGTGATCAACTCAGTTCAAATAGACTTAATTATTGGTTTACTAACGAAGTGAGCTTGTTTAGCGTATTTCGTTTATCCCGTGTTGAGTTCACGGATAAAGTTCGATCATTTTTCGCTACCCGTTGATAATCACCTTTGCAACACGAACCGTGTGAATCACTCTCAGCTCTAAATTGTGCTTACCTTGCCAAAGGCCGAGGTAAGGGGAGCAAAAGCAGGTTCCGAAGTCTTGGTTCCGGGTTCGTTAGTTTTTACTGCAGCGCGGAATCCAAGCTTATCAGCGACATACTCAACGGAACGGTGACGCCCGTCAATCTCGCCAAGATAGTATGATCCAACAACGTGGCCGTAAGAGCCTTTTTCCGAACGGCCGTTGACATTTCCCCAGTCGTCCTTGATGTCGTAACCAAAAGCGTAGTTGCCGAAATCCTACATATATAAACCATAGTAATGCACAATGAACTCACCAAAACTACGACATTAAACCATACAGTTACCCGTAGCCGTTAAGAAGCCCTCAAATTTGTTAGTCCCTACAGTACCGACAAGATTCATGGGGAAAATAAGGTTAACTAATCGTATTGTAGAATTTACTAACTGGTTATTTATGTTATTTAGCAACTGTTAATACATTATTATCTAATATACTCGCTATTGACATGTTGGAGTCTCATTGCTAAACTTTAATCATTACATAATCTCGAACCAGGAGACCCAATGAACATGTAGTTAAAGGAAAATTTCTGTTCGAGATACATCAACTGGCTTCTCCGAAAGCATACGTCTCTAGCCAAACTGTATCTCCGATGTGAATTCCAAACTTGATCTTCCAGAAAAACATGAACAAAAACACACATATCACGTCCTTTTCATCTTGGTCCAGTTGTCGACCCCCCAGTGCCACATACGCGGTCCAATGCAGTTCCTGGTCGCCACTAGGACACAGAACCATTAGTAAGATAATGATGGTATCGAAACGTAACGTAACATAACAAAATAGGACAAAAACGAAGACCAATGAAACGCACGTCCTGTTTACGGTAGTTCGACGAGGACGCTCCATGGTGACCGGCAGCAGCGATCGCTACGAGAGTAGACAGTGCGATGAACTAGAAGAAAAAATAGTTAGTCGTCAGGTTGGGTTTGTACTGCTCGTCCTGAAAACTATCATTGTTGCCGATGGTTACTAATAAGGAATTAAGAGGGCGCTTTGTACATCAATAGCAGTACATATAGTCGTATTACTATAACGGTTGTAGGCTTGTGTAGGGCTACGCAGTGCATAATGTTAATTTAGCAGAAATTATAATTGATAAAGGTCACTTCAGAAACCACGAAGGGTATTATTCATTTGTCCTCTTCCCTTAAGTTTATCGGCTCGCTCATTAGAATGGAAGTTCAGCCTTTTCTTGACGTTGCCTTGAAATTAATTTCTTTGGAAAAACTGACCGATGAATTGATTAGTAATGTTACTAATCGAACAATGAGTGCTTTGAGATTTGTAGAAGTTAGAGACTTTTTTTTGAAGACAGAAATGAATTTTTTGCCCCTTGTCGCATTCTTTTGGTGAAACAATCACCTATCAGATCATCGAATATTCTCTAAATCGATCTATCGCAAACGGCGCTCAGCCCTCATAGAGCACTTCAACTGCCATCGCTTATACGACCCCAAGCTTAGCCTGCGATCCCTTGAAATGATCATTTGGATAATGTGTTCAGTGATGCCGTGTGCGTAACATGCTCGATCCGCATGACACTTAGGTTCGCACTTGAAAATTTCGTAGCTCTTACGACATTATTCTAATCGGTAATCCAGCACTTCTGCACGCGCATGTCGACAAGTCTGGGATCCGGCACTAAATTAATCACTGGCAACAATTGAATGCGCGAACAAAAATGACTTAACATGATCACTGCAACGACCGTTTATGAACGACTGAGCTTAATGCACGCTTCAAATTTTGGCGCGCATTTGACTTGGCAAAATGATCGACAGTAGCGTCATTATAATATAGCTAGGGGCTCGATAAGGCGTCGAATATGCCGAAAAACAACATAATAATCTCACAGGTAGGTCCATCAATTAAAGGCTATTTATACTAACGTGTACGATTTACGAGTTTTCCTGTCTCAACAAATATTACCTTAGTGTTTGGAGAACAACATGGGAGGCCATCAGGACTACACATGAATAGAGCTAATAACAAGTGACAAAGCGACAACTATCCAAAACAATGGAAAAAGTAAAATATTGTTAATGATAAACCCGGAGACCTCAGAAGGAGAACGGACGCAAAAACGTAAATAAGGTTCGACAGGACATACGACCAAGAGTGTGGCCTCATCAGTTCTGCAAATGACTGCACCACAGGTGATTAAGGTAAGCATAGCCTGTTACTAAGTCGTTGTTCCACTGCATTGTTACCGTTCGCGCACAGGGTTTAACACTCACTTTCATCATGATGAACTCTGTTCTCGTTGGGTTTGATAAGGCTTGAAAAAGCAGAGTAAGCTCAGCTACTTCAAATAGACTGACTGGCTAGCTGACACGGCTGAGTCCGCTGTGTGTGTGTTGGCCCCAGGGGCTGTTGGCTTTTTATATCTTCCCACCAAATGCTCCCTCCTTGCTAAACGAAGTTGATCGCTATAGTACACTAGACGCTATCAACGTTTGGGCTACGGTGGACACACAGAGGCAGCTTTGCCCCCCGCGCAAACCAGCCTCTCCCCATCGGGGGCCACGGAGAAAGGAGGAATAGTGCGATTGGTCTCGTCCATTTCCAGCGATATCTTACCGTTGCTTCGCTGCCGCTCACAGTAACGCTTCGCTAGTCCGGGTGAGCGACGGAGTCAGCTAGTTAAAGTCGTACGCGAACTTGACTTGTGCTTATCACGCAGTCAAGTTCACAGCAACAGTAGCTGGGGGCTTCCATTTGCATTTAGAACGAACCCGCAGCGGCGGCGGCAGCAGCTTTCCTGCTGCCGACATGGAGTGATTGTCTCGGGCGCTCGCGGTCTGCCCATTGTTGGTCGGACAGATAGACAGACGAAAGGGGTATACAAGGATGAGAGTGGTTCGCGCACCGGACCACTGGCGACTACGAATACGGCGGAAGGTGGCGAACAAACGTGCGTCTAACCGCGATCTGCTATTGTGCAGAAAAATAGCTCAAATAGACACGAATCAGTGCAATCAGTGCAGATGGTTATGGGTATCCGATGTGAAATCGAGAGTTATGAATGGATTTAATGGTCAGCAAAAGTATGTGCCAAGGAAGTTGTGGATGGATGAATTTCTGTTATGGAGCAATTTAGCATTGAACAGGCAGTTAAGGCGATGAAAAACCCTTGTAACTACACTTTTTGGACGTTTTCATAGAAGGGCAAAACTAGACGGATCTCTTACTTTATGCAGGTATTAAGCTTGCAAACTAAGCAAGCATTAGCCAGTACGATGGTGTAGTAGCGACATATTTAGTGTAGTGGCCGCTTTTTCCAGTCCTCGGCTCGTAATGACGTACAACTTTTGCCTTGTGCTAAACATAAGGCCACTGCTGAATATAAGGCCGTCTAGGTTCGAAATTAGGCATAGATACGCGGCTCGTTTCAGGCTGGGAAGGGTGACATTTTAGATATGAATCAAGATTGTTGTCCATGCTTTATAAAAAGTACCGAAACCATTAGGTATTACTTCAGACGGCTAGCAGCATGTAGTATGAAACGAAGTATATCTACGTTCATGTCTAAACCTAGACCATCACGCGTCCATAAGTTCAGCACACGAACATGTTACCCACTGCGCTATCCGGGAATATGTACGTATATATATATATATGCGCCAGGATTTTTTTGTTATCTACTTACAAATGTAAGAGAACTTACTAAATATATTTTTTGGCTCGGTAACTCAAAAACTTAAAATTTCCAACAAAATTTGTCCGGAAACGTCGATTAGCTCGGGCTAAAGCTGATCGCTATCTAAAGCATTCATTTAAAACAAGCAAACCTTGAAAAATAACTCATTTTTCATCGTACGAATGTCTATTTCAAGTTCGCTAGACAAACGCGAATTGAATCGGTCCTGCGCTGAGATATGAGGCGTATTGATTTTTCTATTTTGGTTACTAGCGCTTGCGTATGCATCAGCACTATATTGCGGTTCAAAGCTAGTCTCTTACTTTTCGTCATATCCTCGCCTGTGCTGTAATGTTGTTGTGGCATCGTTAGATCTATCAAAAAAATTTTTATTATTGATAAAATTATTGCCTAAATCTATTTATCCCAATCAAAACGAGGTGCGTAAACTACCCCTATCGACAAGTCAGATTTATATTTACTTCATTTTGGCTTTGCCCCGAACTGATAAGTTGCGAACGTCACCCGGAACAATTTTCATTTGAGTCTATACATATCACAGGAGATGACCAGCTTCTCCACTGTTTCGTCAAACGTCGCTCACACAGTAATCGGTTGTACGTTTCAAGCTGCAATAGATACATTCCATTGTAGTTCTTCATTTTGACCAGCATAGGTCTCGGGCGTATGTAATCGATACGTTTACGCCACCTCTTACGTGATCCACGCGTCCAGGATTCCACGGTTAATATAGTCTCGTACTGTGAAGTGCAACCACTAATAACGTATAGTTACACCCAAACACGTCTCCCGCCAAACTTCGTAGTCCACCAGTGCGAACTTTTCTACTGAGTCATAGGATATATTTGTGAGTCGGTCTGCGATAGCTCACTCTCTATTCTTTCCATGCCAATAGCTTCATTAACAGTCGTTTGTAGCTGGTCGAGGCCAGCTTTAAGTTTAACAAAGAACAAACATATAACAGAGATTTGACGCACGAATTCCTGTTTGCGTCCAATTAAATGATCTGCCTTTCTGCCCGACCCGTGTCACGTCGTCTACCTTGTTAGTACGGGCTGTTCAGAATACCGACCACTGCCAGATATCCTGTTTTTGATACTAACTCTGCTGTTGATGTTGAAGCCGCTGCTTTTGTACCAATCATTCTCCAGCGACCAGGTCCCGGGTCCGTTAATCGGACAACGCACTCGGCTCCGTTCAGCCGGCTCCACCTGGCAGCGGTGCGCAACACATGCGCCTAGTATCATAACATCTGATGGTTTTCCATTGTTCTCTCTTGGACCCTAGACCAGAGATGTATATAACTTTTTCGGAGGGTGGCATTGATAAGTTCCGTCAACAGATTTGCAAAAGTAACCATATGTTACGACGTCGCGCCACCAGTCGCCGCGGCAGCAAAACAGCTGCGTAGGTGACGGCTCAAATTTAGCTGACGACGGTCAACATTAATGTGACCTTCAATAAGGACCTGGAGCGCGCCGGCACGAGATAACAGTTCAACTTGTCGTGATGCCAATCAATCTATCGGATTCATTTTTTCATATGACTCCAAGGTTATGCATCGTCAATGTGCGAGCTTATGACTTCTGAACGGCGAGTGTCTGCGTTCGTGGGGTATTCGATCGACCATATATCATGATAGGGTAATGGCAATGTAACTAACGCACCACCACGATAGTAGAGAACACAAGGCTGCAATCCGAGATTAATCGCAGCTGTCAGTAGTTATAACTAAAATCGATAATTATCAGATATTAGCAATTATCAGGGGCTTGGAGCACTGGGAGGTCGGGAGATAACTCTATTCGCCGAGGCTAATATCAATTTTAGGCGTGGGAAGGTTCCCCTATGGATTCGACCGGTTGGCAAAGAACCATATCGGATTTGAACTATGGTAGGTATGCCTTTGCGGATTACGTACTTGAGCTCGTACAAGTTTCAACCGATTCTTTGAAGCACTGCTATTTTACAGTGCAATTGGTTTTTAAAGGTAGGAAATGGTAACTATAAACAACCACTGCGATAACATCTTCAATTCGAAATCTAGACCACGTACTAGTAATTTTGAAAATATTCTTTCTCTGGTCCTCCAAATGGCATTTTCAAACGACAGTTTGTGTAAACTCGTTCATATATTTTTCAAGTATGGTACGTACGAACAATCACAGCGGACTTAAGGACTGATAGTGGGCTAGCGGTCCCAGTAATGCGAGGGCTCAAAGCAGCCAGCGAGTACAAAAGGTATAAAACAGCGCAGATCACCTCAAAGGTATTGGCAGTTATAAAAGCTATATGGAAACTAGCAATAACGCAGACCGTCGACTTCGGACGAAAAATGATATTTATAGTATTGGTGAAGGTTTGTTCGCCGTTGAGCAGGTCGGATAATGACTGTTCTTCGTTTGAATTTTAAAAATGGCGGACTGTCTTTGCCATGATGAATCGGCTCTTTCGTTCTAAAAAGAACTGACTTTCTTCCGAAACCAAGAACAGCGAGTAAACGCATGTCTGCTCCGGCAAATTGTTTGCCGATGTTCGAATCTTTTACCCTGGACATATATATAAAAGCTAATTGGACAGAGTAAGTGTCGCGTATAAGTTTCCCTTCCTAAAATTACACCAACTGTTTTTGATCAGCTACGAGTATAATATAATAATATAAGCTTTTTTTTTTTATTTTCTATTTTTACAGATGTTGTATATACCTTTGTTACCGGGCTTTCATAGTGATTGGTTTAAATAACTGATTATCAGATATTAGAATCACGTGGTACACTTCAACGAATATTGGCTAACTGTGGCCAATATCATGTTCTATATATAGAGTTCTATATATAGATATGTTCTATTCCAACCCTTCCAGCAACAGTAGGCTTCCGAGGGTGCGTAAGGTGTCTACTCTTTGCCGTCATCAAATCACAGCTTCGTCGGCTTACTGTAAAGTTATTATGAGCTATTTGGTTATAGGGATCATGGATCAGGACGCGTACTTCAACGCGGCTTCATAAAAGAAACGCTACGACTCGCACAATCATTAATGTTTACTCATCAAAACAAATTACGAAGCATTCACAGTGAGTGATTATCGAAATCCGAGTGGTATATGCCGACTGGGCTGGTGTATTATCCATTCAACTATAAACGAGATACAGTTACGTAACGTTTGTAATTTACACAAAACCAGTATGAGTAATTGTACGGACATTGATACAGACAGCCTTCGACAGGTCGTGCCACTTGCTGCGCGGACGGTCTTCCTCCACCGAGCGCAAATACACCCAGCAGAAGCTATACAAGTAGCCGACCTACCGGCCTATCTCGAATGGTTTTCTGCAATAGATAGCGATCTATTTCGTATCCTGACACTGGCGCATAACGATTGAATGATTTATATTAACCAGTTAAAAAGATCGGCATGTATATAGCCAAGCTAGCGGTCGAAGCTAAAGTCAACGCGTGCACTACCTAACAGTAAAAGACTACCTTGTTACTGATTACATACATGTCTATTTAATGTACGTACATTCATCAGCGTCTCTCCGCGTGCTGATCGCAGTATTGTCGGATCATTCCCAAGTTATTTTACGGATACTTAGAGGGGAATCAGTAAAGCACGTATTACAGTATTAAATACTATAGCTTGAAGTGATTTGCCTTGTGCGTTGGTTGAGAGAAAGTCATTACTCGAGAGAGTTCG